CGGGTTCGGGGTGAAAAATTGGGGGTTTTGGGGGGAATTAAACTCGGTTTGGGTAAAAAGGGGGTTTGGGAAAGGGGATTGGGGGGGAATGGGCGGTTTGGGGGGAAAAAGGAGGCGTGAGGGGGAAAAGTGGGCGGTTGGGGGTGGGAGGGGAAATTTGGGGTGAAAAAAGGGAATTTGAGGTAAAAAGGGGGAGTTTGAGGGAAAAAGGGGGAGTTTGAGGTAAAAAGGGGAAGTTCGGGGGTGAAAAAGGAGTTTTGAGGGGGAAAGTGAAAGTTTAGAAGGGGGAAAAGGTGTGAGGGGGAAGAAAAATGGTTTCGGTGAAAAAGGGGAGGTTTCGGTTAAAAAAAGTTTAGGGTGAAATGGGGATTTTTGTGAGGGGGATTCTGAGGTAAAAAGTTGAGATCGGCGGAGTTGTGAGGGGAAAAAAGGGTTTTGAGGGGGAAAAAGTGGGGTTTTGGGTAAAAAACGGGAAAATTTTGGGGCGCGGGAGGAGGGAATTGGAGTTTAGGGGCGAAAAGAGATTTTTGGGTTTCTGAGGGGAAAAAAAAATTGAATTTGAGGTTAAAAATGGGGAGTTAGGGGTTTGTGAGGGGAAAGTTGGGATTTCGGGAAGTTTTGAGGGGAAAAAGGGAATTTTTGAGGGGAAAATGGGGATTTTGGGAGGTTTGTGAGGAGAAAAGGGAGTTTGGGGTAGAAAAAAAAGATTTTGGGGTCGGTTTGAGGGGGGAAAATGGGGATTTGGGGTGAAAAATGAGGGTTTGAGGAGGGAGAAGCGGATTCGAGTGGAAAGAAGGCGATTTTGGATGAAAAAAGGCTTTTTTTTGGTAAGTCTGAGGGGAAAGGGGGGAATTCGGGTAAATTTGAGGGAAAATATTGAATTTTGGGGTGGAAAATGTGAGTTTTGAGGGGAAAAATTGGAATTTTGGGGTATTTCTGCCGGAAAACAGGAGTATGAGGAAAAAAAGGGAATTTTGTGTGGAAAAGTGATTTTTTTGAGGTGTGATGGGGTTCTGGGGAGGTTTTTGAGGGTAAAAAGATTTTTTTGGGGGGTTTGTGAGGGGAAAAATTGGAATTTTTTGGGGGGAAATTGTGTTTAGAGGGATGTAGCGACTTTTAAAAAGTTTGTGAGGGGAAAAGCGAAGTTTGAGGAGGTTTTGAGGGAATTAAGGGTTTTTAGGAGGAGTCTGAGGGGAGAAAGTTTAATTTATTTCAAATTTTAAAATAAAAATCAGGATTTAAAGGATTCTGAGGGGAGAACTTGCCCTCGGGGTGGTTTTGGGGGGAAATCTGGGATTTTCAGGGAGTTTGAAGGGGGAAAATGGAAGTTTAAGTAGATGAGGTAAAATTTAATGTAAGTTAAGGTTATGAGGTAAAAATTTAAAATTTAATTTAAGTTTATGAGGTAAAAAGTGGTTTTGAGGAAGGAAAGAGGGATTGGGGGAAAAACTTGGGGAGTTTGAGGAAAAAAATGAGGATTTTTGGGTTGTGAGGGGGGAGAAGGATTTGGGGGAAATCCGAGGTAAAAAAAGTGGATTTTTTGTGGAGATTTGAGGGAAAAAAGTGGGAATTTTGAGGGGAAAAGTGAATTTGGGGGAGAGTTCTGAGGAGAAAATTGATTTTTTTTGGGAATTCTGTACAAACAAAGAGTAATTTTGGGAAGTTTTGTGCAGTTTAAGGACTGGAAAATGATTATGAGTAGCAAAAATGTGATTTTTGTGTGGAAAAAAAAACATTTTTGTGGGAATTATGAGGGAAAATTTGTTTTTTAGGACAGTTCTGAGGGGAGCATGAGGAATTTTAGGGAGAAAAAAGCATATTTTGGGAAGTTAGGAGGGAGAAAAGTGAAATTTTGAGATAAAAATGGGCTTTTTTTGGGAGTGAGGAGAAAAATGGAACTTTGAGGGGAACCTTGAAAGGAAAAGAACAAAAATTTAGATTTTAGGGAAAATCAATTTATTTTTGTGGTGGTGTGAGAGGAAAAAATGGGATTTTAAGGGAGTTTTGAGGTGAAAAGTGAGATTTTGAGGGAGTTTGTGAGGGGAAAAGGGGTTTTTGAGGGGAAAAAAAGTAATTTTGGGAGGGAAAAGGGGATTTTTGGGGTGATTTGAGTGGGAAACAATTTCTGAGGGAAAAAAAAAAGGTTTTTTAGGAGAAAAATTAGTTTTTTGAGAAGAACAGTGATTTTGGAGATAAAAAGTGAAATTTAAGAAGGTTTTAATGGGAAAAAGAGAATTTTAGGGGAATTCAAAGAGAGTTTAGGGGAATTACTGAAAAAAAAGGAGAATTTTGAGGAGAAAAGTGGGAAGTTCAGTTATAAAGCGGGAAGTCTTGTAGGAAAATGGGAATTTTGAGGAGAAAAAGGGGATTTTTGGTTAAAAAGTGGGAATTCTTGTAGGAAAATGGGAATTTTGGGATGAAAAATGGGGATTTTGGGTTATAAAGTGGGAATTCTTGTAGGAAAATGGGAATTTTGGGATGAAAAAGGGGATTTTTGGTTAAAAAGTGGGAATTCTTGTAGGAAAATGGGAATTTTGAGATGAAAAATGAGGATTTTGGGTTAAAAAGTGGGAGTTCTTGTAGGAAAATGGGAATTTTGAAATGAAAAAGGGGGATTTTGGGTTATAAAGTGAGAATTCTTGTAGGAAAATGGGAATTTTGAAATGAAAAAGGGGGATTTTGGGTTATAAAGTGAGAATTCTTGTAGGAAAATGGGAATTTTGGGATGAAAAATGGGGATTTTGGGTTAAAATGTGAGAATTCTTGTAGGAAAATGGGAATTTTGGGATGGAAAATGGGGATTTTGGGTTAAAAAGTGGGAATTCTTGTAGGAAAATGGGAATTTTGAGAAGAAAAGTGAGGATTCTGGGTTAGAAAGGTTTGTTTTTAAGGTCGGGGGGAAGGGGTTTTGGGGCTGTAAAAATGGGGATTTTGGGACTAGGATTTGGGGGATTTGGGGCTGTAAAAACAGGGATTTTGGGACTGTAGGATTTGGGGGATTTGGGGATTTAGGAATGGGGAATTTGGGGCATTTGGGACTGTAGGATTTGGGGGATTTGGAGTTGGGGCTGTAGAATTTGGGGGATTTGGAGCTGTTGGACTGGGGGGACTTGGGGCTGTAGGATGTGGAAGTTTTGGAGCTGTAGGATTGGGGGAATTTGGGGGATTTGGGGCTGTAGGATCAGGGGGATTTTGGGTACAGGGATCAGAGGAATTTGGGGCTGTAGGAATGGGGGGATTTCTGGGATTTGGGGCTCGGGCATTTCAGGGATTTGGGGTTGTGGGATCAGGGGGATTTGGGGCTGTAGGAACAGGGGGATTTGGGGCTATGGGATCAGGGGGATCTGGGGCTATGGGGACAGGGGGATTTCAGGGATTTGGGGTTCAGGGATTTCGAGGTCAGGCATCAGGGATCAGGGGGATTTGGGGCTGTGGGATCAGGGGGATCTGGGGCTATGGGAACAGGGGGATTTCAGGGATTTGAGGCTCAGGGGTTTCAGGGATTTGGGGTCA